AAGAACCTACTATAAAACTTCCTGAGGCTGGAATTTTTTCTAAAAAACATGAAAATTTTTGCAGATCTATATTGTTTTGCTTCAAGTCATATAAAAAGACATATCCGCCAACATATCATTTGATATCGTCAATAGTGTGGATATATCGCCCATTGTTTTAAATATCCCCGACATGGCCCGATATATCCTTTTACAGGGCTTGCCGCAACTGATATGGTCTTTAAATATCTTTTACCGCTTTTTGGCTATTTTGAGTGATAAATCCCCGATATCGTCGATATATTAGCCGATATGTGGACCAATATATCTTTTTATATAGCTTGTTGCAAAATAATATACAGTGTTTGGAATTTTTGGGCAAGATATCAAGATTTCCCCATTATATCAAATGACATTTTGCCCTAAAAAAGCAGATCGAATGTTGCAACGTTGCTTTGCACTTTTGTTTGTTTGAGAAGGTTGATTAGTGATCCTAAATAAATATTATTCATATTTTGTATGCTTAAATTTTATTAAAGATGTTGAGATTACATTTTAATGCATTATACTATGTATGCAAACATTCATTATGGCATTCCGATATTTACCACATATCCCCGATATTTCCCCGATATCCGCAATCCGATATGGATTTTGGCCATCCGATATTTCCCTGATATCCGATATTTAAAACCTTGATATCGCCCAAAATTTGACAAAAAAATGGTAAGGAATATTGTGACCATATCGTTTTATAGCAAATATTATGTAAGGATATATTGGCTGTTATATCGGATATTTGACACAGTGCAACTATCTATAGCTGAATGGAAGACAAATAGTCTTGTGGCTGGCTCAAAATATGGGATCAATTACAAATCTGTTGTTCTTCTTCAGTGCTAATGTGCTAAGTTTCACCTTGTATTCACTATTTGTAATCAATTTTACTGCATAATTAGTAAATTCTTCTATTCCAGCAAGCAGTATGGCAAGGTTTAGCTCTCGTGAATTTTAAGAATCACGTCAAGCACTGTTTCTGCTGTGCAAGCTATATTAAAGTTTGCTAGTTTTGTTGCTTAATTAACTTTGACTTGTTGCCTTCCTCCAACATCTATTATTTCAAAAGAATTACTTGTATGTTCAATCTTTCCACACCCTTGTCTATTGAATTGGTCTTTAAGCTTGTTAATTCATATGTATTTCAAGGGAAGTATGAAGTATCTCCCTAAACCAATTCCATAGATCCTTACCTTTAAGGCTTTAATGGTCATTCTGATGACTTGGACTACTAGGCTATTTGCCATCCGGAACTAGAGTAACCTGGTTTATTATTATTTTTTGAATATGTTTGCCACTAAACAGATCCTATTAATTGTTCTCTTCCTTTCTTGACTAGGTGTTATCCTCCATTTCTATCATCGTATCCTACTGTATAATTAATGTCACGTTCATTTGGCCAAGCTTCCATGTTTAAAGGATAGGTTCCTGGTTTAAGCATTTGGCTGTGATCTATCAGTTGCCACAGTATGATGGGCTAAAATTGGAGCTTTTCTTATCTCATAGAAGCTTATTTTCATGTGACGTTCACTGTTTATTCCAGCTAAAGACATGATTTTAGAAGATGATGGCCATCTAGAATAATCATTTTAATTTAGAGCTGGTCAATCAATCTGCCAATATATTACAGATCCTGATTATGAAACCTTGAATCCCATGATCATGGCTTGAACTATATTAAGAAATCAGTGTTACAATATGGGTGTCTATCCAGGCACTGCGAACACTATTTTTCTTTGCCTAAGAACCCGAATTAGGTTCTTTGGGCTGCATCAGGTTGTTCGATCTGACATGACCCTCTTGGCTGGTTTTCTTTGGAGCAATAGGCACAGACTTGTGACCAGATTGTTTCATCCTATTAACCCATTAACCAGCATACGAAAGATTAGCTTTTGTGCTTAATGCCATTCACATTTGCCTTTTTAGTCTTAATCCATTGCATTCCCTCTCTCTTTGTCACTGATGGTACTGGTAAGGATCAGACTGGAGCTTGACAATAGTGATTGGTAATATGGTAATATTATTCAATACATGTTTAATCATACAATGAAAATTCCAAATTGTATACCTAATAGATATTCATATACAACAGATGAATTGTTCCTGTTACTTGGTTATGGATATACAAATGCTTGGTTTTATTTAAAGCGAAAATCACTTGTGGAAAATTTGAAGGAAAAGCAACTTGCATCCTAAAAAATTGAAAATGCTTAGTATTCGTATGAGTGGCATTTCTGTGCATAAATGCAATTAATTCGGAAGAGGGATCTGATTTTTAGCAAATTGATTTAGAATGCATGTTGAAGAGGATATCATCTTTTGATGAGCAGCTATATCTTGGATTGATCAAGTAAATTCACTGGTGAATGCATGACTGGCTAAGTGCGCTTCAAAAATATTATAAGTTCATCAATGAAAATGTTTAATTGCTAGTCCTTTCTTGAAGTAGTGTTTTGGTGATTTCTTTTCGTTAGTTTGGCTTTGCATGACATTTTTATACATCTTCATTTATGGATAATTATTATGAAACCTCCTTTAGATTTACAGCTTATTATGAAACTCCATTATGTTTTTTTCATTAAAAAACACCGTGCTGTTAAAAGAACTGTTAAAATCCACTTATTTTTTAAAACTATCCTCTTCTTCCTCCTCTTAGGGCCTGTTTTGTTGGCAAAAAACTCAGGAAAAGTGTTATAGCGAAATTGATATCCGATAAGACTATTCTTTCTTTGTTTGGTTGAAACAAAAGAAACAAGAAAAGAGTACATTCGGGATCCAGGCTTAGAGATGTAAATAGATGCGTTAGGTCCAAAAAAATAGGAAAACCATTTCAGACAGTTTGGGATGTATATGGGTTAAAAAGGAGGAAATGTGGGTCCCTCTGTGATTGTTTGTGTTTTTTTCTTGGAAATAATCTTTCGATGGTTTTTAAGAAATTAACCAAATAAGCCCTTAATATACTTTCCTTTTCTCCCAAAGACAAGACATAAATTAGAATCTAAAAGTTACACTAAGGCTAAAATGGTGATTCCCCAAATACACGTCGAGAAAACTAAAGAACTTTGAATGGTTTAAAGTGAAAGTCCAAAGGGTTCAAGAGCAACTAGTGCTAGAACCTTTTGACAGTAGATTGAGCCATACTGCCCCAATAGGCTTTGCGGGCTTGGGGCATATAACGAATGGTATCGAAGCAGTTAGCTAGCCGAAAATGTGGAGCTAAATGCTATACGAAACTAAGAGCTACACCGCGTGAGTGCGGTTAGAGCCACATCTAGCCTCTATGAAACATAGGAGCCATTTCTGGTATCCACATCGCCCGACGGTGAGACTGGGATGTGTTAGTCGTCATTGCCGCGATGAGGACGTTGCGTATTAAAGGTGGGGTGATTGTAATACCCCAAATAGTCCCACATTAGGAAAACTATAGGGCTTTGAATGGTTTAAATAGTGAAAATCAAAGGGCTCAAGAGAAACTAGTGCTAGCGTTTATGTTGCATGTGTGCGGGTAAGGATACAGACACAGGTATATGTACGGGACACGACAATTTTGTAAAAACTAGGGTATGCAGATGGCTAATACACACACATATAATTATATATATACCCTTGTTATCTATTCCCAACAATTATTAAATAACAAAGGACCATATATAGAAAAAAAGACGAAAAAAGATCACTACTTAAGAAATGTAACAATTTAGAAGACAACAAGAAGATTCTTACTCATGCATCTCTTTGCTTCAGTACCTCAAAAATAATAGATTCAATATTGTAAAGATGACAATTTAGAAGACAATAAGATGATTCTTACTCATGCATCTCTTTGCTTCAGTACTTCAAAAATAATAGATTCAAGGTTGCAAAGAAATATTTTCAGAAAATCCGCTTAAATGAAAAACCCCAAATTGAATTTTTAGTTAGATATCAAATTGCAGAGAAACATTGTATAAAAATATTAAGTTGTATATTAAATACCAAAAATAACAATAGATCTCAATAGTCGTCATTTTATAACAAATTAGATGTGAAATTAGAAAAGCCTAAAAAGACCCTAAGTCTTAGAAACTTACCATATTTTTGTTGGAATCTTTTCAAATGCTCTATCTCCACCACAGATCGCTGGAGAATTGAAACGGAAGGAATTAGATAGTTGTCGGAGCGAGGTTTCGAAGAAGAGGTTTTGGGTTAGGTGACTTCTGAAGCGAAAAGGAAAGAGTCAGGAAGGAATCGGGTGTTTTCATATAGATGAGGATACGGTTGGCATTCTTTTAAAGTTTTATGTTTGGGTTTGGGTTATCGGGTTCAAAAAACAATTCACTTTTTAGCCGATGACCAAATAAACCCAATTCTCAACTCTATCTCTGTGTGTAAATTGGTTGGAGTAGAACTAGCTGTGTCCACCACGAATCACACGTGTACTTGTACTCTAAACGGGGTGAGTATGATAGCCTTAAACCTGTACCCGGGTATCCTAGGCTAGCACCCTTTGGCAGTGGATTGAGCCGAACAATGAGTTGCTTCCAGTATTCCAAGGCTCCCACTATGCTAACAAGCTCGCGGGCTTGGAGCATGACAAATGATATTGGAGCAGTGAGCTGGCCGGAAGTGTGGAGCTAAATGTTATATGAGACCGAGTGTTACACTGCATGAATGCAGTGGGAGCCGCCTCTAGGGTCAACATCGCATGGCGGTGATACCGAGATGTGATAGTTGTCATGCCGCAATGAGGACGTCGCGTATTAAAGGTGGGGGGATATGATCAAGGTTTTAAATATCAGTTATCGGGGATTTATCGGACGGCCAAAATCCTTATCGGATAGCGGAAATCGGGGATATATCGGGGATAAGTAGTATTTATCGGAGTGATATACCGTATGTTGTGTATATATAATATAATACCCTAAATTGTAATCTAACCATACTCCACTCTTTCATTCTCTCAACCTTCACTAAATAACTAGAGAAAAAACCAACTAAATGGTGAATATTATTTGTTACTACAACTTCAGAAGTTTTGTTGAGGGCGTGGCGTCAATGGAGAGTCCAAGTCAAACTTTCGAAGTCACAGTTGATGATGGCGTCGATGGAGAGAGCTCGGCATCGATGGGGAGCTCAGCGTCGTTCAACGTCGTCGAGTCAATCAGATCAGTTGATGATGACGTCGATGGAGAGAGCACAACATCAGTCGAAGTCGTCAAGTCGATGAAGTTAATGTTGATGAGAGAGCAGCGTCGAAGTTGATAGCGTTGAGGTCAACGGAATCCAAAGAAGAGCGGAGGCGAGCGTTGAAGTCGGCGGAGGCGAGCGTCAAGGTCGACGGAGTCCAAAGAGTAACAGAGTCAGAGGATTAGGGCAGTGGGCACAACCGCACAAATGAGGGGAGAGAGAACAGAGGATTAGGGCTACTTAATCGAATTTAAGTTTTATTGTAAAGAACGGGTCGTGTCGGGTTTCAAGTTCACTCAAAAACCGTCCATTACCCAAAATCACAACCTAATAGTGTGGCCCGATAATTCTGATTTTAGAGTTGCTAATATCGGCTGATAATCATCTTTATCGCCGATAAACCCTAAAAAAAGATAACCGATTTAAATTCTAACTTATCCTATCGGAAAGCTCTCAAAACCGATAACTCGGGGATAATATCGGATTATCGGCCGATATTTAAAACCTTGGATATGATACCCCAAATAGTACCACATTATGAACACTAAAGGGCTTTGAATGGTTTATGTAGTGAAAGTCAAAAGGTTTAAGTGCAACTAGTACTAGCACCTTTTGCAAGTGGATTGAGCCTAACAATGAGTTGCTCTTAGTAGGTTCCACGGCTTACACCGTTCGAATGGGCTCATGGGCCCGTGGGATCAAAAGGTTGAAGAGATTAATTTTCTCTTTGTTAATGGTCGTTGTTACTTGGGTTTGATGTGAAGGAAAAGGAGAAAGGTTTTCCAATAGTTTGAGGAAGAAGGTAAGCTTTACCGAAGGGTATTTTAGGGAAAATGGTAAAAATTGAATGGGTTTCAACGGTTTTTGTAACAACAGGAGAGTTGTAATAAAGAAAACATCGTTACGGGGTTTCATGATAAGCTGTCAAATGTGAAGGGGTTTCATAACAATTACCGTTCATTTATTAGCACAGTTCTGGTTATGATATTATGGATTTCCTTTTTCCACTTCAATTTGAAACCAACTACACATAGAAGGAGAAAGGTTTTCCAATAGTTTGAGGAAGAAGGAAAGCTTTATTGAGGGGTATTTTAGGGAAAATGGTAAAAATTAAATGGATTTTAACAGTTTTTGTAACAACTGGGAGAGTTATAATAAAGAAAATAACGTTACACGGTTTCATGATAAACTGATGTGAAGGGGTTTCATAACAATTACCCTTCATTTATTAGCACAGTTCTGGTCATGATATCATGGATTTCCTTTTTCCACTTCAATTTGAAACCAACTACACATAGAATTACCTGACGCTCTTTGTAAGGCATACTTTGCAACCTGGGGTATAAGTGAGTAGATGACATGCTTAGGGAATCAGGGATGTTGTGTGTTCCTTTTTTTTTCTTTTTTAATTTTACGTAGAAGGGATTTTACTTGATAAATACATAAAGGGTATATAAGAACCAGTGAATCCGGACGTAAATAGCATGGCTGTGGAATTGGCATATCGTTTGCATATTTCTAGCATTTAAAATTTACAATACACGAAAATTCTTTCTGGCATGATCACGTTTTCCCAAAGTTAGGGTACTTGGAGCACGGATCTTTTTATTATTCCGGTCCATCACTCACCTCCCTCCCCTTGTCTCTATAGTCCTTAGTACATTTGTTTATCTATTCCTGATTGAAGGCTGTTGTTTATTGACAAAGGAAAACGATTAGCCAGTATCAGCAGAAGGCTATCTGAGAAATTTGGCTAACTGAAAAAAAATGTTCACCTCTTCTGGTTCCAGTTTCTCATTATTTTTAGCCGAAAGCAAGACTGATTAATTAATCTGACTCTTTGTTTATCCATCGCTCATCTCTTCCTGATTCCAGTTTCTTTTAATTCCAGTTTGTTGTGTCACCAGCTTGACTATTTTAGTTGGCGGATGATTCACTCATATTTACTCTACCAACTGTACCTTTTGTTGATAGATAAATTAATCGTCTATCTTTTCAGTTTCATGAGAGAAATTACTCAAATCTTTGTTGTTTTCACTATTTGGACTCTGTTTCCTTGTTCCTATTTCAGAATGCTATTAATCTCCTTGACTTTGTACTTCAGATGTAACATTCTCGGGTTGATCTCATCTACAAAATTCTTGCAGGGGTTGAATCTCTGATGGCTTGTTCTAGGAGCCCTGCGCCAGTCAACAGCAGTTGAGCTCAAGAATATGGAGCCTTTATTGTAAATAAATGTTAAATTCGGCTCCTGATAGCACCACATGGTTTACTTTGTTTTCTGCTTCTTGTTTATTGTTCCTGTGTGGGAGCTTTTGACATTTTTTTGGGTAATATTTATTTAGCAGTGAAGGTGGTGGTTAGTTAACCCATGTTTTCATGAAGCCGGGGAAAGAAAAAAAAAAACACTTTTCCGGACCAGTAGAAGTAAACTGAGTGCGGTATCTGTTGAGGCGAGCATCTGTGTCAAATAGAACTTTATTTGCCTCTTTTGAGAGTCGCCTCCTGTTCGATCATATATTGATTTGCACGTGTTTTTGTTGCTGGAAATTAATATGAAATTGGTTGTTTGGAAATCTTGATTTTTAGTGTAGAAATTATATCTTAAATCCAAATAAAGCATTTTGTTTGCAGAAGTTGTTGGATTTGCGTATTTTGTTACACAAAATGTGTTTTAATTGCAAATCAAGTTTTTTATTTATTTGTAACTGTAAAATGATTTATATCTTTTGACTTGATGTACGCTAACTTGATACACTGTCTAGGCATAATTGTACTCAAATACCCTATAGTTTCTCCTACTTTGCACTTATATTCCCTTTTGTTTTCTGTAGCACTTAGATACCCTACAGGTATTTTTTAAAAACTTGTATTTATATACATTCACTTATTTTTCGTAGTACTTAAATACCATCAGTTATTCAAGTGCGAGAATTTTTCCTCAAAGATTCTCGTGTGACAGTTCACATGCAAAGTTTAGAATATTATAAGCTCTTAATGTTTGTTATGTTAGACATATTCACATCCTATTTTAAATTAAAGTTAAAAATAGAATTACAGTAGTTTTAACAATAAGTTTAACAAAAATAAAGGGTTAACAAGTCCTAAATTAGCATGTGAGTATTAATTTTCATGGGAAAATTTTTGCAACTGAGGGAATTTAAGTGCAACTTTTAAAAACTCTAGGGTACTTAAGTGTGCATTTCAAAACACTTAGGGTACATAAGTGTTGCAAAAAACAAGTGAGGGAATATAAATACAATTCTTAAAAATTTTAGGGTATATAAAGAAACAAGTGAGGGTGTATAAGTGCAAAGTAGGATAAACTATTAGGTATTTAAATGCAGCTAAGCCTAACATTAACTTTATAATTAATATTAATACTTATAGCATTTGCTGTAATCAAATTGTCTGCATCAAACATTGCAGTTTCTTTCTCTGAAATGAAAATACAAGTATCATTTTGGACTAGTTAGATGCTAAAACACACTAAAATTAGAAATTTCACTTCGTGGGACAGTTTTATTTCCCGTCAACCATCGTATTTATCTCCTATGGGTTGGATCTCTGTCCCCTCAAGAATGAAAGGCTATGCTAAGACCATGTTTGTATAATTGACTTAGTTTTATGAATAACAATTCTTCATATTGGTGTAACATGTCTTTAAGATATTATACACATGTTATAAAAAGTTAAAATCAAATTCGGAAGTGAAAAGAGCAAAACAAAAGTTAATTATAGTTAAGTCTAGAAAAATATTAGAAGCTAAGAGCATATATGAGTGTCTGCCTCTTTCTGCCTCTTTGTCATGAATTTATAGAAATAAACATAATTCGATTTGGAGGTGTAAAACTCGAGATATGAATCTTTCAGCGAAACAGAGTCAAGACAATCATTAGCAGACTGGAAAGACACTCATCGATGATCAACATTAATCATCAATAATACAAGCCTCATTGATGATTGAAGTAGCCATTGATGACAGAATAATCCAGATGCTTTCTAGTCATCAATGACCATTTGCCATCATCAATGATCAAAGGATTATCAATGAGTGATCACAATTATTGATGACTGAGCATTGATTCTCAAATTTCAAGATTGAATCTTAGACATTCATTGTAGCTGTGTATAGGGCTTCTCTCCTTCATTTTTCATAGATGTTATTGGCTCATTTTTGAGAAAGAAAAAGTCATAGATGTTCTTGACCTATTTTTGAGAGAGAAAGCGGCTGAGGGGAAGGGGGAGGGGAGGGGGGGGGAGGTGTGTTTTCAACTGAGGAGAAATTATAGAGCAAAAGAGGAGACTTGACCTATTTGAGAGAGAAGCAGAAGAGGGGAGGGGGGGGGGGGGGATTCAACTATAGGGGGTGGACAGAGAGAGAGGAGAGAGAATCTATTCTTAGGAGAAATGATATTGCTTAGGCTTCTCAAAAAGCATCTTTAACTTTATTATTCATCATCAATAGTCAACCTTCGAGAAGTGCCTCCCTTGGACATCAAAATCATCATTAGTCTTCTAGATTTCTAGAATCAATCATTTGGAGAATGATCTCAATCAAAAAGGGCTGTAGGACATTTCTAGTTGTTCTTAATTGATATCTGTTACTTTGTTTTAAACTTACTTTTATAAAGCATTCAAGCCAGGGTGAATTGAGGGTTTATGGCGTATTCAAGCCGGGGTGACTTGAGGATTAGACATTAGCTAGGGTTAGAGTTACTCATGTGTGAAGAGTTGAGTGTAGACAACTAGATCAGGGTTATCTAGGGTGCAATCTTATTAAACTTACTGAATCGGTGTGTGATTCAGGTGATGCTTCACATAGTGAGGAAGCTAGATCACGAGAAGAAAGAATGGATGTAGGATTATTATTTGGACCGCTATAAAATCTTGTGTGTTCTAGTTATAGTTTATCTTCTATTTTATTATTGCTTATTGTGTTTGAATTGTTATTTTATTCTGCTGTGCTATCTGTGATATTCAAAAAATAGTAAGCAATCATGTTCACCACCCCTTTAGGCTTGCATCTCAAATACTAACTGTGGTATTAGAGCACAAATACCCCTAATTAGGCTTAAAATTCCAAGGATAGATGGCTAGTCCAGGTTCCTTAACTTCTTTTCCAGAAGGTCACACCATTACACAACCTCCGTTATTTGTCTGGACAAATTTAACCTATTGATAAGATAGAATGAGAGTCTTCCTTTTGTCTACGAACTACGAGGTTTGAAATATTATAGATTCAGGATATCATGATCTAACTAAGATAATGTAGCGGGAACTATCACGATCAAACCTTTGGATAGTAGACCGCAACCAATAACTCTAAATGCAAAAGTAATGAATGCTTTTTATTATTCTTTACTTCCTGAATAATTTAGTTGTGTTTTTGGATGTGTGACTGCACAGGAAATTTAGCAAACGCTGGAAGTCACACATGGGAACGTCTCAGGTAAAAGAGGCCAAGCTTGTTATGCTAGCAAGCAAGTACGAGAACTTCGAAATGAAGTCTTCAGAGATGATTCAAGAAATGTTCACCAAATTCACTAATGTAGTGCACAAGATGAGAGCACTTAGAAAAGAGTATTAGAAGGACGAACTCATTCACAAAATTCTCCGATTTCTCCCTCATGAATGAGATGCAAATGTAACTGCCATTGAAAAATCACATGATATATCTAACATGGCACTTAAAAATCTTATAGGTAATCTCATTACACATGAGACAAGAATGAGAGAGTGAGATGAGCAAATTGAGGATGCTCCGAAAAGGAAATATTTAGCTCTAAAAGCTAAGAAAGTCGAGTTCCAAGTTTAGAAGATGAGAGTGATGATGGAATGAGTCATATCATAAAAGGATTCAGATTCTTTCTTAAATTCAAAGATGGTCAAAAGTTCTTGAGCAAGAGGAATCATTACTTTCCTGAGGTAAGAATAAATAAAAGTAGTGGTATTGAGCTAGTGCTTTGTCAAAGCAGGAAATTGGACCATCTAAGAAACAAATGTACCTTGAACAAGAAGGAGAAAAATGAAAGGAGCAAGAGTATTAAAATAACATGAGACATCTCGAGCGATGAAGAGAAGTTGGAGGGTAGCTCGAGCAATAACGAGAAAACGACGATAGATTTTTGGATAATTCTGAGGACAAGAACTCTGATAATAAAGTATACCCTTCATATGATGATTTATATGATAAGTATGGTGAAATATCAGGTTATTTTGAAAAACATGTTGAAAAATATAGCTCTTTGAAAAAGGAATATTCAAATCTAAAGCAAGATAACAAAATTTTGCTTGAGAAATTAGAGAAATTTATTTTAGAGTTAAATGCTCCTAACAATGCAAGCTTGAACACATCTTCTTTTGATAGCTTATAGTGTTCCATATATAGAGAGATGAATGGAGAATTAACTGAGAAAGTAAATGTGTTAAAATGTGAAAATGATGATTTTCTTGCTTGGTTAAATAATCTTTCATTTGAATTGTCCAATGAACAAAAGAAGTTGAAACTCGTCATACTACCTTATTTTTAGAAAATAAATTACTATAACACAAAATTTTTAAATCAGAAATGGCCATAAATGTTTTCTTCTTTGGGCTTTAAATGCTTAAACATAGTCCTTTGTAATCAACATTTTGCTAAAGTAAAACGTGGATTAGGATATTCATATTCTCTGAAGAAGAAGGGTTTCGAAACCCTCTTTTATGATAAAGAACAATTTGTCTTTCTCTGCTCCTAGCTCTAATACTCATCTACTACTTGCACTTTGTGTGGTAGAATAGGACATCTAATGTCATGTCACCTACAATATTAAACAAAATTTGTAAAGCACATTTGGGTACCCAAGAGGGTCATTCCTAATCAAAGTGGACCTATCTGGATACATAAATCACATATTGTCTCTTTCATCGTAGGTGTGCAGGTAGCTAGGCTAAGGAGTAATGCAACATCTTGATTAGGTTGCTCAAAGCATGAAATAGGAAACATAATTCTGTTCTATAGCCTGATCAAGAAGAAATGTGTATGTGATCTTTAAGATTAACAACTAAAATAAATACATGATAAAAATGATAATATATACTTATCTTAATCTCTTTAATGTTTTACATGTTGAGGGTTTAATGATAATCTCATATCCATTAGTAGAGAATGCGAGAGAGATACATCTATTCATTTTCTAAACTTACTCATTGTAACATTAGTTATTTTTGAAATAGGTTCAATTGCGTTACAGATTAATAGATGTAAATATTGTCACTTCATATTTTCTAAAAAAAAATTATTCTATAAGTGTAAAATATTTGGATGTAGGACAAGAAGTTGCTGATATGTTCCAAAAATATTCTAATTATACAAGCATAGATTTGTTAGAAAAATATGTGATGCTTATGTTTGGTCTCATGTTTATGAGCCTATTGTCTAATCTAGTTTTGATAATTTACAAAAAATTCCTAATGATATTTTTTAGTATTTGTGTTTTCCTCCAATATCCATCCAGGTTGAAGGTTGGTTAGACTTGAGCTTTAACGATGATATTCTTGGAGTTTGGCAAAAATTGAAATGAAGCCATCATAA